TATATATATATATATATATTTATTTATTTATTTATCAGTTTATGATGTAGCAAATACCTATATAAAAAAAAGATAGAAAGGTAAATAAAAAATAAAGAGAAATGCTAACTATAGTTATGCTAACATTTTCTTTAGATTTAAATATGTTTTAATCCCTTTAATTTAAAATTATTATTTTTAGTTCCTGTAATTTAAAAAAAAAAAAAATTTAGTTTTTATATTTAAATTTTGTTAAAAAAACTATCAAATATTGTCGTATAAAAATGATAAATTTTACCAACTAATATCCTTGTTAGTAAAAATATCATATTAAATATAATTAATTGTATATAATTGTTTCAATCTGTCACTTTCAAATGTTATTAATATAGGTGTCAAAGTGAGCTTCAACCCGACAAGTTAACTTGGCTCACCATAGTTTCGAGTTAGGAAAAAAAAACCTACCAATTTTTACTTAAATCCAACCCAACTTGCTTAACCTTTGAGCCAAATGGGTTCGAGACTAAGTGAGTTGAATTAACCCGTTCAACCCACTAAAATTATAAAAAAAATTCACGTAGACCTTATGAATAATATGGTGAATTAACTTTTTTAAGGAGGATTTTTATATAAATAAATTTGGTGAGCCAACCTTCCTAATCCACCAATCCATGATAGGTCGAGTCGGGTTGGTATTTTTCTGGTTCACTAAAAAGTGAGTCAAGTTGGTCCAATTCATTTAAAGGACCAACTTGTGGTGAGCCAACCTAGTGAACCAATTGTCTCACTTGACACCTTTAGTTATTGGTGACTTTAGACAATAAAATAAGATTTTTGAAAATTATATGACTAAAATCACTAGTTTTAGGTTTGAAGAATCAAAATAAATTTATCTTTGAGAGACTAAAAACATATTTAAATTTTTCTTTGTAATATTCTTCTTATTATTGGTTAAAAATAAATTTTTTGATAAATCTTATTACTACATCAAGAAAGAGTCTCATTAAATAAGATGTAAGACTTATAAAATTTATGATTTTTAATAAATTTTAACTAATAATAAAGAGAGTGGCGAGTATTAAAAAGAGTAATCTCAAACTCAAAATGCAAAAAAAATACTATAGCAACTCAATAAAATAATAATAATAATAATAATAATAATAATAATAATAATAATAATAATAATAATAATAAAGTACGTAAAAAAACGTGAAAACTAAAGTAGAATATTGTATGTATATGTCAATTATAGTTGTTATATATAGAGATTATAAATTTATCAATATTTCTGAAAAACCAAGATCACGGTCTGAGTTTTATGAGATACAAGTCTAATCAATCAATTTTCTAATTTTAAATATAAATTTTACTGTGTGTTTGTTACTTTGTTTGGGAATATTTCGGAAAAGATAATATGAAA